CTTCCTTAGATTTATTTCATGAGTTTGTTTTTTACACTTTTTCCATTTCAATAACATAAGCATTTATTTCTTTGCATATGATCATTGTATTGCATTTTACCTAAAAAAAAAAATCCATGTCGAGCTAAGTACAAGGTATACCAATGATTTAAGGCACCCTGTGGAGCCACATCATATGACCTTCTCCCATTGAAATACAATCCCTTTCTTCATAAACCACTTTAAGCCTCGTCTAATGATAAACCTTTTATTTTTTCAACCCACATTTACCTAACCATGGGATGGGATGGTGTGTAACTTACGCAATTATCAAAGCCAAATACAAAAGCTTGAGTGACATTTACCAAAATTTTGAAAGTTCAAAAAAAAAAAAAGGTTCAAAAAGCAATAAAAGTGTGCAAAAGGGCAAGTGTTCCAATGTCTTTGATATGAACACGTCTCGGATTGCGTCTCTTATCGAGTGCTCGACACCGCGCCTGAGAAACATGAATGCCAAGTGAGTGATAGACCGCATGATCGGGATTGCTCACACTTATACAAAAGAAAATTCAAAAAAAAGATCAAATGCAAAAATAAAGAAAAATGAGTTCAAAAGTGAGAAACCTCAAGCATACAAATACCAAGATTCAAATGCAAGGTTACACTCCTTAGGGGCTTTTCTAGGGTCTTGAGCCTTTATCCCTTCTTCTTCAACCTTTAGCCTGACCCCATTACCACCCTTAAAAGACCCCCTTGAGGTATACACACACTTGTGCGAGGTTCGGCTAGAGCTACGTTCGGTCTGATTCCTAATGGATACGTAGGCAACCTCACATTGGGGTGCGGCCGTAATAAAAATGAATTCATTCATTAACATTCATATTCACATTCATGCATGATCATATCAAGGGATCTCCAATGCTCATCCCTTATCCATTTAGAGCTAGACTTGGGGGGCTTGATCCCTACTTCATTAGCCTACCCAGCCTAAGAGTCATCATCATTTGACTTTTCTCACGATATTTTTCCACACCATCAGCCTTTGCAGCTTAACCTTAGTGTCACTTTCACACACATCATAAATACATAGCCAAATAATCCTTCCCTTAGGAGCCCTTTGTCATGAAATCTTGATACAACTTTGAAGCATGCCTTGTCATTTTAGAATTACTCATTATCATAATCATCGTTGCATTATAAAGTATGAAGTACTTAACCTCCACGCCTAAGTTACCCAAATACTTTCATTATAGAATCATCAAACTTTTCACCATGAGATACAACATCAACGCATACACTTGATTAAGCTCATTCAACATGCATCATCACTTGATTCATTCTTTTAATCTTGAGGAAGTTCAAAAACCTTGTTTTTCACCAACACTCTACACTTCAACCTCTTTTCACGTTTATCTTTTCGGGAGAAAGTCGGTACCCTCCACAAAAATGATAGAAATTTTTTGCTTTTCTGCATTTTCGAGTCGCACGAGCACAATCTCAACACAATGCACACACGAGTCATGAACATTGAGTCATGTCGTGTCACTACGTCGAGCTGAGTCAACACTCTATACACACAAGTCGTACGCACAACATACACATATAGTTGATCTAAGTACATTAAGTCTTACACAATGAGTCAAGTACACCAAGCCTTGAGTCAACTTTAAGCCAACCAACTGTCAAGGTCCTTTGGCAAAATTTGATTTTTTGCAGGGCTAAAGCACATCACCTATACGACAATTTTTCCAAAATTGGATTGTCATCTCAATTGATAATGTTTCCAAGAGTGGATTGTCACGTACCTTCTTCATCTGGCAATTTTTCCAAGATTGGATTGTCATCTCTTTTGGCAATGTTTCCAAGCGAGGATTGTTGCGCTCCTTTTCCATTTGGAAAATTTTTCTAAGTTCGGATCGTCATAAATTCATTAAATCCTTGGCAATTTTTCCGAGATTGGATTGTCATTCACCCAGTTCCTTATGGCAAATATTTCCCTAAGGATTGTCGTAGGTCTTTAATTTATTCAACTTAATATTTCGGCAAAGGTTCCCCAACGTGGATTGACATTCATTTCAGTAGTGGCAAATTTTCCCGAGAAGGATTATCGATCGACTCTTTTTTGCAAATGTTCCAAGACGCGGATTGTCGATTGTGGCAATATTCTCCTAAAAGGATTGTCGCATAGCAATGGAAAATTTCCAAGGTGGATTGCTTTCAAGAGTTATGTTCCAAGGCGTGGATTGTCAAATGTAGCAAAGTTCTTATGACGGATTGTTACAAAGCATTGGCAACTTCTCCCAAATTGGATTTTGGCAAATTTTCTGGGATGCGGATTGTCGTTTCATCATGGCAACATTTCCTATGATGGATTGTTACGCGGCATTGACAACTTTCCCTAAACCAGATTGTCGCTCATCATTCAAGAGTTGTGTTGGCAACTGTTATACTACTAACTCATCTTTTGTCATCGTGTGAGCCTTATTCTGAGAGTTAACCAACATTAAAGTTCGATGAAGAACTTTCGTTTTAGAGGGAAATAGATGTAATACCTCGAAAATTTTGATTATATTTTAGTAAATGATTTTTCTAGTATAAAAAAATGGTAATTATTTTCAAATTAATATTTCTTATAAAAAATAAAAAAATAAAAAATTGATTTTATCAATTGGTTGTTTAGGATTGAAATATATATATATACTTATTTATATATATATATATATATATATATATATATATATATATATATATATATATATATATATATATATATATATATAAAGTTGCTTACCGTACAAAAGAAAACCCACCTTTTTCAATTATTTCTCAAGTAATCAACAATTTGTTATCCCCAACCTTGATCTTTGACTGGTAAGCTATAATTCACCACCATGATTCTCATATGAGATAAATTTGGTTTATTTTAGCAAATTCAAACAACTGATTGAACCTCTCCCTCTGTTTTTATGTCTTACCCATTCAAAATTCTCGAGCCCATCCTCTTTGGTAACTCCTGAAAATCTCGATCCGAATAATTTACCAGAACAAAACCATGGAAACATCCTATCTTTGGATGAAAGGAAGAAGAAGACAAGCTTGTGGGTCTCGTGGATGTGCTTGTAAAGCACTATGTCAAGATTACTTTAATAAAAATAGCCTACCTTAGTATCTAAATTATAATGAGAATTTTTATTTTTTTTTTTATAAATTGTCTTTTCTCCAAATTTTTTTTATAAAGTAGTGTTTTCTGTACAAAATAAGTAGTACACTAACTTAATAAACCACGTGAGTATTATATAGCTTCGTGACGAGTAGGACTAATTTAATTATCTGTTTATTTGTAGACGGAGGTTACTAGGTGAATGTTTCGGAGGTTACTTACCTTGAGATTTACGTGCAACTCAAGGTAATTTTCAATGTCCATCATCTTTAGAATCCTGTTAGGAAATTGTTTTGAAATCTTGTGTGCCAACTACTTGCTTGTGTAATTATATGTGATGAGTGTGTTACTGTATGATATTATGGGATCAAATTATATACTAGTTTTCTATATTTGTGTACTAGTATAAATATTTTCGAAAATTTGATTAATTGGTATCGTATTAGTTTTTTGTTTTTTTTATGATTAAAATCTTGGGAATTGGATGATTGATTATATGTGATTGATGGTCTCCAAGGCCTATTGGAAAACGGATTGTAACTAGTATGTCACGTAGAACGACTATGTTCTAATGATACTGAAATTAAAACATTGTTACTTGGGATTAAGTTGATTTGTGCAATACTTGTGTGCAATGTAATCGACAATTTAATCTATTAAATGTACATTAATATTAAGAAGGGAAATGAAACCCGAAAGGGTGAAGAACAGGTTGCCCACTAGTAGTTATGGTTGCTACTAGTTGGTTTAAATTAACGTATTTTGCTGTTTAGTCTTCCTCCTAATCAATGGGTATTAGTGAGGGGTTTGCACACTAGGGACATTCTATTTAATTTATGGCCATTTGGGGTTACACGCGACCCTCTGTAAAGTAAGTGGTGACAGGGACTAGTCCCGACTTACTGGCGTTCTCTTTCCTTTTCTTAACTAAAGGAATAAATTTTTATGTAACAACTTGATTTTGGCTTAGTAATATGATGTCGATGAAATTGTGTTGTGTAAAATGTTTTTCGAACAAAAATTATGTATTTTACGGGATAAGTTGGAATTACTCAGTTTATCTGATTTTGGGAGTTTTCTCTCTTTCCTTGTTTCTGATTTATTTTGCAGGTTGGTAAAAGGGTACTCGATTACGTATGAGGAGACGTTAGAATAATCACGTAGCTAAGGCAATTTAGTTTAATTCTGAACTTATTTATTTTCCTTTTAATTAATGTTTTTAAAATGCTTTACAGTTTGGATGTAACGACTATTTTTTTTTTTGCCGCCACTCAGATCACTTAGTTTATATCCCTAAATCGTATTTTTTTTGCTTTGCATTTGTTTTCTATGGAAAGTAAGTGTAACAGTAACACTCTCTAGGTTCGATGGTTGAGTTTTGAAAGGGTGAAAAGGTTACTCTTATCGTTTTACAAAGACTCGAATTTTGGGGGTGTTACAACTGTTCCTAAAGTGGATTGTTGTAATACCCCGTATTTTTTATGTATTTTATAAATTATTTAATTAATTATAAAATATATTTTTAAAATACTCAAGTATTTTAATTAAATATTTAAAGGGCTAAAGTATTTAAATTATTGAGTTTTATAAAAGTATAATTTATTTTGGGTAAACGTTTATTAATCTTTTAGGCTCGTTTAAATAATAGTATGTAAACAATCCTTACATACTCCTTGTGGACCAACCCATTTCATTTAAGTAAGCCCAATTCTTTTATTTAAACCCTTGTTGGTCAAATATTTCATGACTAAAGTCCATTTGTTTATTAAGACCAACCCTAATCTTTATTCCCTACTCTATAAATACCTCTCAATACCCAAAATTTTCCCACACAAGAGATCAAAAATCAGATTTTGGGGTAAGTAATCTTTTCTTTTCCCTTATTTTTCTTTTCTTTTTCTATCTTTTCTTTTCTCCTTTTTCTTATTCTTTTCTTTCCTTGCATGCTGCTTTGGTTCATGCGTGAATGCATGGCCAATTGCTGCTTTCATGTTTTGCAGCAACCTCACGCCACTCCCCAGCCAGCCGGCCACCTCCCGCCGGCGACCCACGTCGGCAACCATCCCCACCGTGAGCCACCTTTCTCTCTATCTCCTCCTCCTTGTTTTAAATTATTGTTTTATGTAGTATATATTTTTGGGTTTTGATTCTTGTTATTTAAATATGATTAGTATATTTTATAATTGTGTTTTGATAACTAAAGAGTATAAATTTCTGATTTTGTATGGTTTTAAATTATGGTTTTTATAAAGTATTAAAAAGTTAGGGTTTTAACTATTAAAGTGTTGATTTTTAGGGTTCTAATAATCAATTAAATTAGGGCTTTCATTCCCATTGAGTTTATAAAGATTAATTAAACATAAAAACTGATTTTCGGTAATCAAATTCCGATCTCCGTTCTTAATTATTTTTAATCACGTTTTAATCCCGCTGAGGTTATAACTCGTTCGATTTTTACAAATAAATAGTGTTTTTCATGTGTAAACAATGTTCTAATAATGACCACCCTCTCGTGGCCAAAATCAGCCTCTAAATAGGGTTTTCAGATAGTTTTTGATTTTTGACGAAGGTTTAATGTTTTAAAAATAATTTTCAGATTTATTTGGGGGGTTTAAATTTTAAAAAGTGTGCTGGTTTTTATATAAACACCATGAATGAGTTTTTACTTTGTGGTTTTAATTACCCACTTAAAGAAAGAGTTTTAAAGGTTTTAAACCAAAATTTCATCTTATTAGAGAAGGTTTAAAGTGTTTAAAAGTTGCTAGAAATTTGTGTAATCAAGGAAGTAATTGAGTGTATGTATTTGGTATTGTAGGAGACTTTAAGTTGAGTAATTTCTAGCATTGTGGCTAGTTGGAAAGATGATTTAATTAAGGTACATATAAGAATACGAGAAAACTTGATTTTAGGAGCATGTTTAGGGACTTGGAAAAAACTAGAATCATGCTAGGGAACTTGTGGATTGGTTGACATTGTTTGGTAATGAGTTGATTGATGATAAATGTGATGATTGGTTTAATTTATGTATGAGAAAATTTGCATTGATTTTCCTTATGAGCATTATTTATGCAATAATTTGCAAAGTGAGCTTAGAGGCAAAAATACAAGGATATATGGAATGAATTATTTTAATTACTTATTCATTTGTATTGAAATGGAATGATTAAAGGTAGAGTTAAAGTCTTATAAGACAAGATTGTGGATATGAGGTGCCTAATGCATTTAAGGTGTTTATACACCGAGGTAGTTAAAGGATTCAATAATAAATGTTGTTTGTCACTGATAAATTAAGAATTGAATTGGAAACTTGAATGATTTGAATGATTGATGTATGATTGGTTGTGTTGTTTGCATATGAGTCATCACCAAATTTAAACTGGTAAATCACGTAAAGTGCAAGAAGGATGAGCAATAAAACTCTAGATTTGTGCACATCTAGAGTAATGACAAACAGGGGTTGGGGTTCACGGGGTATTAGCCGTGCACTTTTCAGAGGCCGTCTGATCTACGAGTCTCTTGTTTTAAATTCTTTTAAAATTATAATGAGTTAGATGAGATCTCATACTAGCTATGGCCACGGAGTCGCGCCCGTCTGCCATTGAATGTTTATTAATGTCTTCCGAAAGGAGGCATAGGGTTTTCTTATTTAATGTTCCGGAATGGAGCACAGGGGGACAACCCGGTCTATTGCTTAATCCAATTAAATTAATGAAGTGATCAATACTATTAGAGAAACTTAGTAATGAGTAACAATTGAATCATGTGTTCGAGTCAATGATTATATTGTGAGTGTATGGAATGCTTGATAGTATCATGCTAAGACTCTTTACTATATGTCGTAGCTTCTATGTACTCAGCGATGCTGATTGCGTGCTTTTGTGTGTTTCTCTTGGTCATGGCCTTCGCCTTCAATGACCCTGTAATGATCCAATTCTTACACTTGTAAAATTAGGGAGCAGATTAATCACAGGTTTTTGCATAAACTGACTTGCATCAGGGTGATGGGATTTTAGTGGAGCGTTGGCTGATTACTTAGCTTAATTTATACCATAGATTAAATTTTATTTTGGTTCTAATTCCATTTACTTCCTATTTTACTGGATTTTGAATAAGGGCCGTTATGGTTCCAACTTGTAAGACTAAATTGAGTTTTGACTTTTAGTTTTGAAATTTATATTCTTTTTTAAAACTAAGTTAGTTTTCCGCTGCTGATTTCTAAAACTAGCCTTAACGTTTGAACACGTGGCGGTAGCACGCCAATAATTCTCTCACAGGTTATTAAAAGTATTTATAGGTTAATACAGGTTTTAAAGAGAGAATTATTTGGGTGTTACAATTGTCATCACCCTCAAATACACAATTGAGCCTTTGAGCCTCATAATAATTGATTTAACATTTGATTTTATTAGTAATTGGCCCGATTACGATTTTGATTGATGATCGGCCTGATGAAGATCACCTTATTGATTGAGCACGCCTAAACATTAGCAAAGCATATTTGATAAGCGCCTAAATATTGGCTCATTACACTTAAAAACGCCTAAGCATTGGCTGAAAATATTACACCTAAGCATTGGTTAAACGCGCCTAATCATTGGTTGAAAATATTACACATAAGCATTGGTTAATCCCGCCTAAGCATTGGCGAGATTTGAGGATCGCTAAGCATTGTGATCTTCGACGGCTCTCCCTAGGATGTGTAGGCTGTCAGCATTGGTTAATCCTGCCTAAGCATTGGCGAGGTTTGAGGGTCACTAAGCATTGTGATCTTCGACGACTGTCCCTAGGATGTGATGGTTATCAGCATTGGTGGGTCCTGTCTAAGCATTGACGAGATTTGAAGATGGTGACACACTGTGGTCTTCGACGATGTCCCTAGGATGTGGAGATTGTCACCTTGATTGAAAGATGGCAAAACACTGCCACCTTCGATGATATTCCCTAGGATGTGGAAGATTGTCATTTCAAATGGAGATAGCGAAGCTCTGCTACCATTGACGGCTTTCACTAAGATTGTGGAGGTTGTCAAAACAGAAAAAATTTGATCCGACGTGATGTCACCCAGAGGCGTGTACCCGACAGTGCAAGATACGCGTTTCTAACTCCTTTATTTGTGGAACTAACGCTTTTCTGCATGTATCGGCATTAAAAAGAATAATTTAGAATCGCCGAATGTTCTGAATCATTCTTCGTCCCTATCGACCTACTTTAACTTTTGTTTTCGAAACTTACGTTTCTCCAAAATCAGTCAAAGTGGGGGCTTCTGTAGACACCTGATTGTGTCTCCCCAAAAAACCAAACCTTGTGATGAGTACCTTTCACGTCTTTGATTATCGAGTTAGGTGAAAGAGTTGAAGGGTCTCGTGAATTCCTATTAGCCTTGACCATTCCTGACTTTTCCTTAAATGTTTTTAGCCACAATCATTTATGTCGTGTCCTTAAACCCAAAATCATTCATTTCGTGTTTCTGAAAATCATTCATTTCGTGTCCAATTTATAAAAATGTCCATACCAGTTTATTTTGGTCCATATTCTTGGTCCAGTAATTTGCTTAATTGGATAGGGTTTGAAAAGAGATTTCCAATGATATATTATAAGCCCAAATTCGAGTTATAATGAATAAGTTATGGCCAAAATACTAAACCGAGCCCAAACTGAGCCTTACCTGCGACCCAATGACCATGTGGAGGGTCCATTAACCTTAACATCATTCCTAAACCAATTACGATTTATTATGAACTTCTAGAATCTTCTAGAATGTTGTTTTCAATCCTAAATCCCTTAGGATTTATTATTAGCTTCTATAATCCTCTAGAAGGGTCTAATTTATCTTGTTTTTGAAAAGATAAAGATTTAACAATTTTATATTGGATAAAACATTTGTTTTTCAATGATTTTAATTTCGATAAAATTAGAATACGTACGGGAATTCGATTAACCCAATTTGAATGGAAGTCGAATTCCGTACAAATTCTATCTTTAAAAGCATCACTAAGTGATAGAAATATCGCGCTGCGATAAGGCTATTGCGTCACGATAAGCCTATCGCGCGGCGATAAATCTATCGCGTCTCGATAGAAACCTATTTTATTCCGAGTCAGATTCTGACTCTTTTCTGAATTTCGACCCTCTTTTTTCTTATAAATAGAGGTTGTTTTACCCCGTTTTGATTCACCAACAATCATCATCTAATTCCCTCTCTAAGCTAAAAGCTTTTCGCTCTTGCTCTCTTTCTTTCTAGCCTTAGCCTAGCCTAAACACATCCCAACACCTTCTTGGTATCATACACCATACTTCCTTCACGAGCTTCGAATACTCCAAGCCAGTCCCAAATCTATTTTTTAATTATTATTTGACTTATTTGTTTGATTTAATCTTTCTTGAAGTTACTAACGTGTGTATAGTTTTGATAGAAAGAGGTATGAGGCATCAAAGTGAGTAGATCTACTATCCTTATTCCTCGCTTTTGATATAGAAATCATGCTTAGGATGTTTTATTAATTCTTAGTATCATGTTAGGATGCTTTTTTGATTTCTAGTATCATGTTAGGATGTTTATTTTGATTCCTAGTATCATGTTTAAGGTGTTAATTAATATTCCTAATGTCATGCTTTCTAGTATCATGTTTGGGCTAAAGCTATGATTTGTATTTAGTGACATGCTAGGGTTTGTTATTAATCCGTTTAGTATCATGCCTAGGATCTTACTAATGATGTTATGATGATGATTGTTGTCTCAATTATACATTGCTTGATTATTCATGATTGATTGTTATTGCTTGATCACGCCCTTTCTGCAGGTTTAAAGGGAATTTTGACTTGAAATCACGCCTAATAAGAGAATTAATAATTTGATTTTAGGTTAATATGATTTTAATTCAAGTGATCACCAATAATAAATTTATTTGTGCATTAATAATCAACCAATGTAGATTAAACGATTTAGGGCTAATTTGATGTATGTATGTTGATCAGAAAGCGCACATGAATATCATAAGAATTAAGTAGAGGCCTATTTAGGGCGAGTTCAATCTCTTTTAGGATGGATTGGTATCATTATCTCCGAATATCCAGTCATGATTACGGACCATTATGAACTTAGTGATCCCTGTGATCATGAATGGAGTGTAACCTTCACTCCGTGAACGGTTTACAAGTTCCTAAAACTTGTTGACGACTCTTTTATATATAGCTTCTTTCCCTTTGGATGCCACCATGCTTAAGTGCATGATCATAGTGGGGCTCAAAGTTGATATTTGAAATATTCCCTACAATTAGCATTCAACCAATTTAGCTTAATAATAGTTTGGAGCAAATTAAATCTTTGTTTGCATGCCTTTGAGATCACAGGAAATACTTTTCGCAATAAGAATCGAGTAGAGGCCAATACGGGCGAATGTGACTCCATGACTCACTTCGTAACATCATCCTCGATCCTCCTTTTGTGGTTCTGAACCATATGGAGTTAGTAATCTCATGGATTATGAATGGGGTGTAACCTTCACGGGTCAATCGTTGTTGCCTATCGTTGTCCCTTAATCGTGGTTGCCTTAAATGATTCGTGAACGGTTTACAAGTTCCTTAAAAACTTGTTGGCGGCTCCCTACTTTGCTTTGTCCCTAATCGTATGTCAATTCCCACTTCCTAAGAGTGCCAAGCATATTCACAACATGCTTAAGTAGGGCACTTCGAATGACGCCTACAATAAGATGAAGCTATGAAATAGGCTATGTAAGACATGTCTATAAAGTAACAATTAAAGTAAAAAGTCAAATTTGAAAAAAAAAAATTGGTGGAAAACTTTTTTAATACTAGAGAATGACATGTGTTATCTTGGTGTGTCTTGAATGATTGTGATCATTGATTATGTTCATGAGTTGTGTTGATTGTTTATGATTATGCATATTATGTTAGTGTGTCTCACATATTAATTAAAACGTAAATCACGTTAATTTAAATTAGTACGCATGAAAAGTCTAGGAACATATATATTTTGAGTATGAACATACGGGGGAATTATAGCATTTTATATTTAATCATGACTTTTACAAGGGGTACATGATGTTGTACTTTCCTATTTATTATATTATGCGTAGGGACATCCGTCATTTTTAAGTAACATAGGTTATTGCCTACTCAATTGGCTCCCGAGTAGTTTACCCTAATTTTCTGGGGCAAGGATTTGGTTGGTTATTTGTTTGATGCGTATGGTAATGGGATGAATAGATCATTTTCCTAAACCAAAAAATACTTATAGAACCTAAATACACCAAGCATTATCGACAATATTTAAGCTAGAGATAATATAACACCAAGCTGACCAACAAATTAAAAAGCTAAGCATGATTAATAACTACATAAGGAGAATTAAAGGTAATTAATAAAAGTAGAACGATCAAAGTTGCAAAAACTAAGAGCATAAGAGCAATAATGAAAGAGATAAGATTGATAGAAATTACTAAAAAGACTTCATTAATCTTCAAAGAGTGTTGAGATTTGATTGCAAAATCATCCCAAAAAGCTAGGACTAAGTGTTTCTCTCTCTAAAATATTAAGCTAATGATCTAAGATCTACCCTAATTAAGTTCTAATAGCAAAGAGAGTACGGACCCCTGTTCATAAGAAAAAGAAAAGAAGCGAAAATTTTGAATAGGACACAAGGCCAATGCACCCGCGCTGTCTAGCTTGGGTTCACTCGACCTCATGGCGTGTGCGCTACTGCACTTGTACGCAATGGTGCTGGTAGCTCAATGCAAGGCAACACGCTAATTGCAGCTGGTGCGCCCGTGAGGCTCTTCATGAGGGAAGCAACTCTTCATTAGGCTTCATGAGCATGGCCTATGAGAACACCTTATAATTTCTTCCTTGACTCTCCTCCTTAGCTTTATGCCATCTTTTAAGCTTCCAAGCTTGGAAAATTGATCACCTTCCAACAAGCTCGGGAATCTTAAGAAACTTACAAAAGGGCGACAAAGAAAATGAGACTGTGGAATTGATAAAGAAATGCATCCAAAACCATTAAGAAACAAGCATAAACATGCACTCTCATCAATAATTAATCACTCAAGCACGCCACTTGAACATTATTGGAACAAAAAGCTAAGAAAACAAGCTAAAAATATACACAAATCCTAGTCTTGGAGTGACATAAATATAATTTATCAGCGTACTCCAAA